TTGTCCCAAATTAATTCTACCCATGGCAGGTTGCTTTTGTTGAAGAATTTGTGTAGGTGCTTAAGAATCAGAGCTTCATTGTGGGTTTGAAGATTGAGAACTCCCAGTCCACCTTCTTCCTTTGAAGTGCAAACAATTGGCCATGCTGCTTTTGCCACCTTTTTTCACTTGTTTCTGCACCTCTCCAGAGGCAATGTCTTCTATATTTGTCAATTTGCTTTAGAACTGTTTTTGGCAGCATAATTGAGCACATTGTGTAAGTTGGGAGTGCTGATAGTACTGAATTGGTGAGCTCGAGCCTACCAGCTTGGCTGAGGAAAGGAGAGATGTAATTCAATCTTTTCTCACACTTGCTTATGAGTGGAAGGAAATCATCCACCTTTGGTTTAGTTAAGCCCATGGGCAGTCCCAGATAAGTGAAGGGAAAGGAACCAGCTTGGCAACCAAAAGTTCTAGCCAAATGGTTAAGTTTCTCATTGCTAAGGTTGATTGGCACCATCATGGATTTGGAGAAGTTAATCTTTAACCCTGTTGAGTCACTGAAAGATTGAAAGACACCTTTGAGAAAGAATAGCTGAGTGGCTGAAGCCTCTACAACAATCAATGTATCATCAGCATACTGTATGATGGGGAAATCCAAACTTGGTGCTGGGATTGGCAGCTTAAGAAGGTTAAGTTGATCTGCCTTGTTTAGGATGGATTGTAACAGGTCAGCAGCAAGAACAAAGAGCAGAGGGGAGAGAGGGTCACCTTGTCTGACACCCCTCTTGCAGTGAAATATTTTTCTAGCTACATGAAAGGTCCTAATGACTAGAGGGGGGGTTAATAGCCTATTAAAAATTTCTACAACAACACTAAGACAAATGATTAGTTAATAAGATGGCGAAGCGAATTTTGCGCTAGCACTATACTTGAGGTTGCAAGCCATCTACCCAATTCTATTTTCTATAATCTCTAGTATATCACAACAAAGCTATGTCACTAATATACACCTAGGTGATCAACCTAGTGAGAGTAATATAATTAAATGATTCACTATCTAGTCTTAACTACAACTAGCTCTATCCAAGTGAATGTATAATGAAATACAGGAGAGTGGTAGAGAGGTATACCACCGTGGCAAGTGACCAATGAATGAATACCAATGAATATCAAGGAGACAATCAAGACACAATGATTTTTCTTCCGAGGTTCACTTGCTTGCCGGCAAGCTAGTCCCCGTTGTGGCGATTCACTCACTTGGAGGTTCACGCGCTAAGTGGCATCACACGCCAAACCCTCAATAGGGTGCCGCACAACCAACACAAGATGAGGATCACACAAGCCACGAGCAATTTACTAGATTACCTTTTGGCTCTCCGCCGGGGAAGTCAAGAACCCCTCACAATCACCACGATCGGAGCCGGAGACAATCACCAACCTCCGCTCGACGATCCTCGCTGCTCAAAGCCGTCTAGGTGGCGGCAACCAGCAAGAGTAATAAGCGTATCCCGCAGCGAAACACAAACATCAAGTGCCTCTAGATGCAATTACTCAAGCAATGCACTTGGATTCACTCCCAATCTCACAAAGATGGCTTTGGCTAAGCTTACAAGGTTGCTATGTCAATGCAAATGGCCAATAGAGTGAGCTAGAGCCGGCCAAACGATATTTATAGACACCCCCAAACAATAAAGCCGTTGGCTCAATTATTGGGCTGACTGCGGGACGACCGGACGCGCAGGTCGTGTGCACCGGACGCGTCCGGTCGCAGCTTGACCGCTACGTGTCCCTTTCAAATTGTTTAGCCATTCGCGCCCAACGGCTATCCGCTCAACAGCGACCGGACGCGTCCGGTGTGGCCGACCGGACGCGGAGGGTAGCGTCAGATCGAGTCGAAGAGCTCCCGAGCCGCTCAATCGACCGGCGCGCGCGTCTGGTGTGGCCGACCGGGACGTAGAGAGCAGCGTCCGGTCGAGTCCCGAGAACTCCTAGAGCTGCTCAATCTGCGACGGGACGCGTCCGGTGTGGCCGACCGACGCACTTCCTGCGTCCGGTCCTCTCTCGACCAACACTAGCGCCCCACGTCATCACGACTGATGCTAAATAGTGATTGCTCAACGTCCGGTCAACAAGCACGAGCCGAGTCCGGTCACCTCGGCAACTCTCGCCCGCGCGGCGAGAATACCGGACGCGTTTTAGGTATAGATATCGGACGCGTCCGGTCACGTCGAGAACACTACCTCCCGAGATAAGATGCGGACGCGTCCGGCCACCCCGTGACCAACAAGCAATCAACTCCTTTTTAACTCTATCTACTCTTACCCTTGCTCAAATGTGCCAACCACCAAAGATATCACCTTGTGCACATGTGTTAGCATATTTTCACAAATGTTTCAAGGGTGTTAGCACTCCACTATATTCTAAATGCATATGCAATGAGTTAAAACATCTAGTGCCACTTTGATAACCGCATTTCGATACGAGTTTCACCCCTCTTAATAGTACGACTATTAATCATAAATGTGATCACACTCGACAAGAGTCTCGATCACTAAACCGAAAAGCTCCTATCAATTTTACTTTTGCCTTGAGCTCTTTGTTTTTCTCTTACTTCTTTTCCAAGTCTAAGCACTTGATCATCACCATGGCATCACCATCATCAAGTCATGATCTTCATTTACTTCACCACTTAGAGTAGTGCTACCTATCTCATAATCACTTTGATAAACTAGATTAGCACTTAGGGTTTCATCAATTCATCAAAACAAAACTAGAGCTTTCACTACACCATTTAGCAGAACTGCTGAAGTGCCAGTACTTAGAATTGAGTAAATCCAAGACCTCCATTTTATACCAAATCCTTTGTGTGCTAGCTTCAACATCAAGTATTACCTTATGCTCAATTCTATCAAAGGCTTTTTCAAAATCTAGCTTCAACATCACAATCTCCTTTTTTGAGTGATGGCAGAGATGTAAGTACTCAAAAGACCAGGCAATGCAATCCTGAATGGTTCTTGTTCTTATGAAGTCATACTGATTCTTATGTACCAATGGGAGAATTACTGTCGGGAGCCTGTTTGCTAGGAGTTTTGTAATCAGCTTGATAGAACCATTCAGCAAGGAGATTGGTCTGAAGTCCCCAACTTGCTGGGCCCCATCAATTTTAGGTATAAGTGTAATGTATGAGTCATTTATGCTCTGTAGACAAACTGAATTATCCTGAAAGGCAAAGCACAGTGCATAAAAATCCTCCTTGATGAAGTGCCAACAATTTTTTATGAACTCGTTGTTGAAACCATCTAGTCCTGGAGCTTTATCATTAGGTAGATTTTTGACTATTGCATCAATTTCAGCTCAAGTGAAGGGTTCTTCTAGCCATTGTAGGTTTGAACTGCTTTCCAGGAACAAACTGAGATTGAATGTCATAGCAGTGTAATTTGACTGTCCCAACCTGTCTCTGAAGGCCTCCCAGAGAGCCTTTTCTTTATCAGCATGGTTAAGAATTATTTCCCCATTACTTTTCTACAGCTGTGCAATCAAATTATTTCTATGTTTGATGGTGGCATTTGCATGAAAAAGTTTAGTCCCAGCATCTCCATCTTTTACCCATTTGATCTTGCTTCTCTGTTTCCATTATACTCTCTGTTGCTCAAGTAATCGATTCAACTTTTCAACCAATGTCTCTTTGAAGTTCCACTCAATTATTGTCAGATCTCTGTGCTCTTCAATAATCTCCAGGAGGGAAAGGACTGTTTTGACATTGGTCAAATTTCTTTTGAGATTAGAGAGCTTCTGCTGCCAACTTCTTAAAACTTTTCTCAAATTTCTACATTTAGCAGTGATTGCTTTTGCTTTGTCAGTTTGGTTGCTAGAATCTTCCCAACCTTGCTGTACTGTTTGCAAAAAACTTGGGTGTTGAAGCCAATAGTTTTCAAATCTGAAAATTTGTCCTTTTGGGATGCTGGTTGAGATGGTTATGTTGCAAGGCCAGTGATCAGAGGTTTGCATCACAAGAGTGTTGACTGATGTATTTGGGTAGTTGGTGGTCCAGGAACTTGAAGTGAATAACCAATCTAGTCTTTCCATTAGGGGTGAAGGTTGTTTATTTGTCCAAGTGTATTTTCTCCCATACAGAGGTAATTCAATCAGACCAAGAGAGCTTATTGCTTCATTGAATAACAGCATTTCATTCACATCTCCACCGGGCTTTTTCCAATCCCCTACTATGAGCCAATTATCATCATTAGTTATTGTATAATGCTTAAACCATCGAATGAAGTCTCTTTTCCTATCATGGTTACAGGGACCATAGATGTTAGTTTGTAGCCAGGTATCCCTGTTGTGCTTAGCAGTTAGCCTGACAGTAATTGCAAAGCTGTTCTGGAATATAAGTTGACCACTGAAAGCACTGCTCTTCCAACTAGTGATAAGACCACCTGAGGCTCCATTAGAAGGCAAAAATTCAAAGGAATCAAAGCCATGTGGGCAAAATTTTCTGAGAAATTGATTATCAAAATTCTGCCTTTTTGTTTCTTGAAAGCAAAAGATATCACAACCTGCTTCTGAGATAGTATCTTTGATCGAGTTCCATTTTTCCTCTGAATTAATTCCCCTGACGTTCCAGCATAAAACCTTCCAGCATTTTTGCTTGTGATTGTTCATGTTTTTTCACTTTGGGGAAGATCAAAAAGCGTTTGTGAGTTAACAGCCAGAGAGCTAAAAGCAAGCTTGTGAAGAAATGGAAGCAGAAGACAGATGACAGCAAGGTAGCATAACCAAAACCATTTTAACCATTTGACAACCACAAAGTTTAACAAAGACTGGCACCAGGACCGACTTAACCAATCGACCATCACAGAGTTCAATAACAGATGACATCGGCTAACAAGTAGACAGCTTAGGACAGACCAGAACCACATGATAAAAGGAACAAGGAGAGCTAGAAGAGCTAAGAGAAAAAAAGAAAAGGCAGGCTGCCCAGGAACCAAAAGTGCAGTGCCAAGTTCTTTCCCCCAGCATTATTGAGTGCTTGATTTCTTTGTCATCTTCTTTGGTGCAACTCCCCCTTGGTTAGCACCATCTTCTTCTTGAACGTCTTCAGCTAGATCAGCAACACTTGGCTTCCTGTTCGCCTTCAGCTGTATCTTCTTCTTCTTCTTGCCTGCTTCTTCCTGCTTCTTCTGTGCGGCAACATCTTTATCGCGGACATCAGGTGCAACTTCAGAGATCACAGAGTCTATCTTGTCAATAGCCTTACCGACTTTCTTCTTCCTTTGATTAAGGACTTTCTCAGAAAGAAACTTTTCATCAATCTGGCAGAGTTCTGTGCCCATCTTCTTGATCAAGTGCAGCAAAAGATCAGGTGGATTAGGAGTACAAGCCAAACACCTCCTGTCAGTGCAAGCACCAGGTTTGAAACCCTTGTTACTTTATTTAAGTCTAGGGCTTCTCCTCACTTCACTTTCAACTATAGGTGTATTCCTCTTCTTTACTTTCTTAGCAGGTGTACATTCAGTTTGTTCATCAGTCTGACCAGGTGTAGGGATGAGGTTGCTTGAACCAGCTTTGATGCAAAGAGGCTTTTGCATTGGGCTGCAGTCTGGGATCTTGATGAAGGAGGTCTTTAAACTGTTATTGAAAAAAACCCAAGCTTCAGATTCAATGAAACTTTTGGCCCATTTGAAATTCCTAGGTGAGAGTAGCAAAGATGCAAAGAAAGGGGCCCATTGAGTTGCCACCTTCACTTTTTTGCTTGAGATGCTTTCAGTGAATGTCAGTCAATACTCATTGCTTTTGAGATTGAGTTAGCTGAACCTTTGCAACAGAACAGGGTCAGCAGAAGGTTCACCTCTGAGCAGAACTGCTCCAACATTTATAACATTGTCTGTTGCATTTCCCAGCTGTTGATCCTCTGGTTCATCTTGATCCTCCAGCTCATCTTGATCAAAATCATCTTCATCCATCAGCATATGCAGTGGAACCTCTTCAACTATCATTGGTTCTATTGGCAAGTTGAGGTGAGGAATATCACCAAAGGGCTGCTGCTGATTCTGTTGTTCCTGATTATCAAGAGGGTTATTGGGACCAAACCCAGGATTCTGCTCAATCAAATGACTGACTTCTTCATCAGCATCTTGTATGAAGTTATTTAGTTCTAGGAAATCTCCATTTAGATCAGCAACAGCTATATTAATGATGACCTCTTGCATATCTGTGTTGGGTGCACCATTAAGATCAATTTCCATGTTGCCAATGTTCTGACCATTGGGAGGTTGTTGCATCTGCTCATCAGGCCATTGATCCCATGCAACATTTTGTGGATTCTGAGCTGCTAGGAGGTCCCACTGTGTATTTGGATTGATATCTTCTACATCCTGGTTCTCTTCCACAGGTTGAACTGCCTGACCCTGAATAATGCCCTGTCCCTGAGCAAAGGCCATGTTACCAGCTCCACCATTCTGGGCTGCCAAGAAGTCCCACTGTGCATTAGGATTGGTCTCTTCTTCATCCTGATTTTCTTCCCCGAGTTGATCTGCCTGACCCTGGTTATTGCCCTGTCCCTGAAGAACTCCCAGATTACCATGTCCATCCTGAAACTGCTAGTTAGGCCCAGGATTCATAGGTCCTGCACCAGGCTGACCGAGACCGAAAAAATCAAAAGGTGCCAGATGATCAAGATACTGAGGAGCGGGGTCTTCAGGTGGCGGGCCTCCACCAACGAAATCATGGCTTATAATCTCACACTGAGGGATACTCCGAAGATCAGCAACTCTAACTCTAACAATCAATCTGGTGAGCCTCCTTCTATTATTAATCCAGTTATCCACTCGACCAAAAGAACACACAGCATCCTGAATATAATCTGTTTCCCAGTAATCTAGTGGAAAACCCATCAGCATTAACTAGCATTCATGATTAAAATTCACCCTACGCCAGTTTCTTCCCTGATTGTGCCTAGTTAAACTGACTTGAACATCCCCCATTGGTAAAGGATTATGCAGGACTAAAGCATCTCTATCAACTGGTGAATTGAAACAAACTAGAGCTTGGCCAAGATGACTAGGCTGAATATCAGAGAAACCAATGTGCCTTTCTTCAAAGAATTCTTCCAAAACCTCTCTAATGTAACACCCTCGGCGTTACACCCTAAATCATTTACTAAAACATGTCATGAGCATCATATTTATGTGTTAATGCATGTGATAAAATGTGTAGATAAATTTCTTGTAATTTAAAATGATCAATAAAAATGCTAAATGAAAGTTGATTCAATAACTCATGTATATCAAGTAGGTTTCAAAACTAATTTTTATTAAGCAAAAATACTATAAAACATGTGTGTGATACTTAAATAAAGTTTGAAGTACAAACTTTGCAGATGACAGTGAAATACTTGCTGTCGAAAAATAATATTACTAGCTAATATTTCTACTAGCCTAGAAATTGCAAATTGAAATCAAGTTCAGCTCAACTTAGAAAATTTCCAAGTTCGTCAACAGCTAGACATTGCTATGTTTAGCAAATTATTTTGAGAGATTGGGTTAAGGGGTGGTGTAGTGTTATAGCTTGATTTGGTACTCTTATATGTCATCTTGAGTATGGTGAAGATGGTTAAGGTCCAGAAGCAACCGTTTAGTTTTTATAGGCGCTTTAAAATTCGTGCACGACACGGTTTCGGGCTGGATGGCCGCGTGGGCGCGGTCACCACGCTCGGACGTTCGGCGTCGCCATCTTGGTCTGTCCCACAGCATAAAGCGTCTTTGCATGCGTGGCGCCATGGCTGCTCTGCCTAAACTGCCGCTCTGGCTGCCGTTGGCTCTGGCGCGGGATAATGGCCGCATTGCTACTTGTTAGCAATGAAGGCGGTCTTTACCGCCACCACATCCGCCACGCCATGCCGCTGCTGCGACTTCGCCCAGCGCGCGCGGCAGCTGCCGCTTTGTCGCCTTGCCGTCATGTCCGTGCCTCACTCTGCATCTCTGCTGGCCCAGTGCGATGCCGCCTCTGCCGCGCGCACATGGTCGGGCTCGCCGTCGCCTTATCATTTATGACATCTTTGCGGCGCCACCACGCGTCGATCGAACGCGCGTCGCTTTGTTAAGCGCTAAGCGCTTCGCGTGGGCCTCCACGATCTCGCTGACCGCATCCCGCCAAGGTGAGGCCGAGCCGAGCCCACCTGCCGCGCCCCGTCTCTCTCTTTCTCTCTTTCTCCTCTGCTGTCGCCGTCGAGCCGCGCCATCAAATTACCATGCGAACGATCACCTCCATTCAATTCAGTGCATCCACGGTTTCAACATCACGTCTTCTCACTGCCCGACCCTACCCAGTCTTGAACCGTGCAAGGCCAAGCTCTAATTTAGAGTTTCTCCCGCCGCCGTGCCGATAAGGCCGCGTCCGGCCGTGGACGAGGGCAGCCCTCCTACCGTCCCTCCAGAGCCAATTCACTTGCACCACTAGCTTCGCCTTGCCTCCCTCTCCACCTTGCGCACGTCAGCGGAACCGCTACCGCCTCCCCATCGTTGCTAATGCGACCGTGCCGCCGCGGTGTGCCACCGCACGGCTCGGCCGCACGTGGCCAGCCCGCCTCCGTCATCCTCCGCCCCAACCGTCGCCTCGGCCTAGTCCAGGGTAGCCTCCTGATGCTCATGCGCTAATCAATTAGGCCTGTAGCTACCCCAGCCCACCGGAACAGTGGCGCCGCCGTAGCGGATGGCCGCGCGTCGCTGTAGCCTTCCCCAGCCAGTCGTGTCACCCTGCACCGCCGCTTAGCATAGCCGCTCGGTTAGAGATGGTGATCGACACAGTAGGTGGGCCCTTGCAGTCCCAGTGGCGGCGTGGTAGCGCCATTGCCGCCCTTCGCCAGCAGCCGCCGCCGCTGCAATCGAGAGTTTAGGGGGTGCACGCGGGGGAATTCCTGGAAAATCAAGGGGTTAAGTGAGAAGGTTTGATAGAGGGAGAAATAGTGTTAGTATTTAGTCGTAATTCGGGAGAAGTTCGAGGTCTCTTTTGCAAAGTCGTCGACGCGCAGAGATTCCCCGCCAGTGGCCGTCTTCTTGCAGCGGGCCCCGACCTCGCGTGAAGCCACACATGAGCCGCCACACACATGGGCGTGTCGCGTGTGGCAATGTAAGGAGAATTCGTTTTTCTTTTTCATAAGGAATTAGAAATAATTTTCTAATTTATTTTTTGAGCTGATCTTTGGTAAATCATATAAAATCATATAGGTATCTAAAAATTATGAAACAAATTTTGTTAGGTTCTTAAAATTGTGCTCTATCTGATAGTGTATTTAGTTCATATATACATATGTTTATACCAGGAGCTATTAAATCATTTGAGAGTGCTTAATATTATGAGGTTCAATATTGTAGGAAATTTTTGTGGTAAATTGGCGATAGTTTTAATACTGAAATTTTTATAGTAGCTTCATTGTATTATTATGTGCTCACTGTAATTTTTTTAGCTTTAGAATAGATTAAGCATTAGGGTAGTTAAATGCTCTTTGTTTCAATATACATTAAATCATTAGTAGAAATAAAGATAAATCCTTCATTTATAAAGCTAGTTGTTTGTTAGTTGAATTCTACACCTTGCTTGATGAAAATGATAGTTAGCTTAGTATCTTAGTCATTAGAGCTAGCTTAATAGCTTAGTATGCGCATTCTTATTTTAAGAGTTGCTGTTGCATAAATGATAAGTGTTGCATCATCATCGCATGCATGTAGAGAACGAGTTGGCGAAGATCGTGACCGCCGGCGATCACGAGTTCGAGGAGATCGTTGAAGAGTACGAGGAGGAGATTCTCGTGCAGGAGCAGGTCCCAGAGCCGCCACTGACTGACTCAGCTGACACCACGCCTGCCCAAGGCAAGCCTCGGTGCATAACCCCTTATTTTTGATAATCACTGTTTATATATGTTATGTGCATTTACGTTACAGGAATTTTATTAAAACCACAAGCATACATATACTGCCCTATGAGTCCTACTAGTACAGGTTTGAGTAGCTGCTATGTTTAGATTTTCGGTAGCGTGAGTAACCTGTTGTTACTTACAATATGTGATTATTATAATTACTCTCATGATAAAATGATGAAAGAAAAAATAGAGACGGGGCAGGGATATGGTATTGGTATTGGTGGGTGTAACAGATTGTGTCCTGCGGCCAACAGGACTTAGCTTGGTTACACTGTTTTCCCTATTCGTGTCGATTAAGGACCGTCCGTTGCTGTGGATGGTAGTCAGGTCACAGACTTATTATCCTGAGCACATACTTGCTTATGGCAGCGGGAAGGCTCGTTACGCTCTTATCGTGGATTCCGGCTCTTTCTAGACTGACTGATTGGAGGCGGAAAAAGGTGAAGGTCTAAGCACCATACTGAGATCGGGTCTCTGGCTTGGAGTCCAAGTTTGGACGGAGACCTGGACCCCTTGATAGGAGTGGAACGGGTTGGTCTTGTTTGTGTCTGTGGTACAAACGGGGTATGTGTTTCGGGGTACCCAGCTGGGATACATTGGTTCGCGAATCGCTGTTTCTGTGAGACGGTACGACTTGGCTATGGTCTAGCACCGTAGTAAGAACTAGAAGATAAAAGATGGTGAAATGGTTCTGATTGCTTAACCCTTGCTTGAAAGTAGAACAGGTTCTTACTTAGAATGTTAGCTAATGAATTAATCATGACTGCTAATAAAACTTGATATAAGGACGTACTCCTAGTAATGCTTTTCGCAAATAAAAAAAAACAACAAACTCATATTGCCTATCATACTTCTTGGAGTCGGGAAACTATTTTCACTAGTCGGGTAAGTCTTACGGGTACATTGTGTACTCAGGGTTTATTTTACCCCTGTTGCAGGTGCAGCTTTAGGAGTAGCTCTTGTGTGGAGGATTCTTCTGGTGGGCACAGACGGATCCTTGTATCGATTTCGCTAGATGTTTATTTTCATTCCATTGTTTAATTATCGCACTCTGAACTCTAGTATTGTAATAAATAATTTTCAAGAACTCTTGTTGTATGAAATGGACTAAGTATTGTAAGCTCGTACTCATTATTGGATTCTGGATGTAAAACATGGATTGTTTCGAGTTCCCCCTTGAGGTGGGCTAGGGGCTCGACGGAACTGTCCGATGTAGCCAACTTTCGGGGTGCTTAGTGTCTAATGGAAGACGAGCGCCTCCGAAAGCGTGTTATTTTGGACGGTTCTGCCACATCTAACAGTGGGGAAATGAAGAGCAATACCAGGCAAAGGGTCGATGGTGACGATTGCAACCGTCTCATTTCGACGTTGAGGCCTTGATCCTGCAACTGCGCGCACCATGGGCACTCTTCCGGGAACATTCTGTCGATGCATCCCATTTGGGACAAACAGTGTGGGGTCCGCGCGCTGATAAGCCATTGCAGGATCAGCACTTTCAGAATTGTCTAGAGAGAGATGCAGTGGAGGGTTCAGAGGTGGATTAGTGTTTTCTTGGCGAGGTGCTTGATCACGCGCAGGCTCAGGTGGTATATGAAACACTTCAGAAGCCGAGAAGGCACCACCTAGTGTGAGCGCGCAGGAAGTCGGACCCACCTCCGAAGTTGAGGGCACGCTCCAATTTACAATGATCGGTTGCTGTGGGACCAGAGAATGCTGAAGCGTTTTTCCAGCTAAAAAAGCAGTAATGTCACCAAAAGATTCAAAGACTGGAGGCCTGCTAGAGGAAGGCCCATTGGGCTGCCCAGGGGTCAAGCGGAACCAAGAAGAATACGGGGACACCTCCGCCGAAACAACACAGGTAGCCAGCTGGGTTTTGCCTTTTGGATCAATTTCCATTGGTGCTTTGCCATTTGAATTTAATTCCTTGAAACATGTTGCCGCCACATGTCCCCAACTGTGGCGGCAAAGCACTTAATGGCATTGTTACAACGGTTCCTTGGGTGTGACGAAGCCAAGCACGTTGAGCACCGTGTCTGTTTGAATTCGAAATTAGGCTGCTCACGAACCAAGGAAGAGCCGCCATGCTTGGAGGTTCGGTGATCAGGACAATGACGATCAGGGAAGACAATCCTTTCAAAAACAGATTTCCTAGGAACGAACCCTGATTTTTGTCCCAAAGGAATCCGATTGGCCCCAGTCAAGGGAGGACTAGCCTTGATTGGGATTAGATAGGCACCCGAGAGGGGAGGATTTCTGACAACATCAGCAAAAGAACGACCTTGATTGGAATTAGAAGCAGAGGAAGCCGAAGGAATGACAAAAGTTCAGGATTCCTCCTCCAAGAGCTGCACTCACCAATGGGGGGGTAAGGTGCGGGGGGAGAGTTGAGAGACCCGAAACTGGGAAGCCACACCACCAATGGTGGCTTGAAGCAGAGAGCCCACTGTCTCAACAGAGAGACGGAACTTGCACCTCCCGAACGAAACGACTAAAGCATAAAGCAAAGGACCCGAAAGAAAGCTCAGAGGAGACCGGCGAGCCAAGCAAATGCCAAACCTCGGCCTGAACCTTAAGGCCCGACGAGAACAGCGGTTAGGAAGAGCAGCGAAAGGGAAGATGACCGAACCTCGCCGTGAAGCATTGTAGAGGAAGGCCACACTCAGTAGTCGGAGCCGGACAGCGGCAGAGAAGGCCACACCTAGCAACCGGTGACGAATGGCAACACAGACAAGGCGTCGAACACCTTGTGTGCGACTGCCCAATCCGTCAAAGTCCAGGATGCAATGGTGAGGGAGACGGGAAGCACCTCCACGGCAGCACCGAGAAGCACCGCAGCAGCAACCCGAAGAACACTAGTCAACGGCGCGGGGGGGTGTGGGGGGGGTGTGTGTGTGGGGGGGGGGGGGGGGGGGAGCGGCGGGGGGGTGGGCAAGGCGGGCGGAGCAGCAGCGTGCTTTAGGTGAAAGGCGCCATGGGCAGAGAGGCCGCCGGCGAGCGGTCCAACAAGGTAGCACTCAGGCACTTGCTTTCCGTGGGTGGACGCCGGGGCCGGATTGGCCGCCGGCGGTGGAGCGAGCGAAACTCAGCGCGCTGCTAATTGTTTGTGGAGTTCCCCTCTCGCTATCGCGCTCCCATCTCTAGTTCGTTTCATAGCCGAGCATGACGAACTCACAAACGGCCAGGGCCAAGAATTCCTTCCTTTTACTTCACTTCCACGCCGGGTATTGTTTGTGGAGTCTAGGGCAGAATTGCAGTATTGCACAGCTTCACTTCAGTCAATAAACCCTAGCCCCTCTTCTTTGGTTCTTCCTCACTGGCCTCTTCCCGTATGGACGGGGCCTATATCGCTGCCGCCTCGCCGAAGGCCGGCGGGGCCTCCTCGTCGGCGTCGTCGGCCTCGTCTTACGGCGGCTCGGCGTCCGGGCGCTCCTGGCTGCGGAAGGGGGTGCACCTGCAGCGGCGATAGGTGGCAGTTAGGGGAGAGGGGAGAGCCGGTGGCAGTGTGTTAAAATTTCACGAGATATGCTTTATATGTTGAGGGAAAAGAAAACATGATTCGCGTACAATGATCGCCACCACTCACCAGCAGGCTTGTCGCCGTACGCACCGTCAGGTGCCACCGGCCGTGCAAGTGTAGCGTGTGTGCAGGGAGAAACACACTACCGATCGTCCACGCGCACGTCATCGATCGCTACCACGAAAACCGGACATGGGTTTCAGAAGATTTTCACACCCTGCGAGATCAGTGCGAGGCGGGCGCGCGACGACGTCGACGACCCGCCTGGTTGGACCTCGATCAGCGCCGTTCTCTCGCATCTGCTGGCGACTCGCGGCCTCGATTCAATTCCCTCTCGAGCCGCCGCCGATCTGGTTCCTGCAGCCGTGCAAGTGCAAGGGGACTCCGGCTTGACTGGGAGATGCCACTCTGCTACGTGGCACTGCGCTGTCGTGTGGGATTCGAGATGTCGACCCGTACGAACACGGGGACACAATCTGAATGCACCGACTAGAATATTGGAGAGACGTACTCACTCCGCCTCGAAATAATCTCACGTCTAGCATTCAAATTTTTTCCCGAAATAATTGAACACCTTCACATACGGCAACAGACCAGCTATCACATCGGCATGAAAGACTGAGCAGCCACAGGTTACTGCATCTGCACCTCCATACACGTTGCAGCGCTGCAATGTTTGCCCAGCCACAAGTTTAGATGTGTGTGGACCCAAGAAAATATGAAAACAAAAGAAAGGAAGAAAGCGTGCGAGGCTCCGGAAGGTCCTGTCCACTCGTTTTCTGATCCTTCGATCCTGCTCATGTGTCGTCGACGCACCCGACACCTCCCTCCAAGGGAATTTTCGTAATTTGGTATGCAGTATTGGTTTCCGTGCCCAGTTCCAGAAATACAATTATACTCGAGGGAGTACTGTATCACCTGATCTACAAGACAGGCGACGCGAACGATGTTGACGTACTCCCTCCGTTCATAAAAGAATGTAATTCTCGTTTATCGAGGAGTCAACCAATTTAAACTTTGACTGAAGTTATAGTAAAAAGTATTAATATTTTTTCGGCTTCATAAACCCGGGGTACCACGGGGACCGGCTTCCACGCCAAGGCTCGGCCCAAGCAGACAGCACGCAACTCATAGGCCGGCCCAAATACCAGAGCGACAGGTCGGAGGAGTGATCCAATCTCCGACTGGAAGGTCAGGCCGAAGAGGAACAGCGCCCGTTTTCCGACTCCGGCTCACCTCTCCGACCGGAGCGCTCGATTCGGTCGCCAGCCCGCCTCTGGACGGCCTCTTCGACCGGAAGGCCTAGCCAAAAGAACCGCTTCCGACTCCGACCCCGCACTCTCCGACCGGGGATCCACCCAGCCCCTGCTCACCGCTCTTCTTCAACTGGCGCGATCAAAGCCGACTGGGATCAACCGACCGGGGACGTCCGCTCGGTAGGGACCAGGAGACGTGCGAAGAAAAACAAGGCAAGGCACATAAGTTAAACCACGGTACCAGGGACCATACCCTGCACGGAACAATACTTTGCAACCGTCCTAACACAAACAGTGTTGTAGGCGCCTACATTTCTCCTACAGTATTGTGGGCACCATTAAACTCCCATACGGTAAGGCTCCCCCTGCATGCCTCTGAGCATCGACAGTGTTATGGGCGCTGGGATTTACCGTACCGAGTGCATATGGTGAAACTCCTCACATGCATCTGGGCATCAATAGTATATGCAGGTACCGACATCTGCCATACCCAAACAAGACGACGGAACCTCTCATGTGCATCTGACATCCAACTATATTGTGGGCGCCTACCATCATCCTGTACCCGTCGGCATGGGCAACAAGAATTAGAAGCATTCGTACTCTCTCCCCCTCACTTGTAAGGCCATCCCCCTTTATCTATAAAAGGAGATGCACTCTCTCCCAATAGACCAAGTTAAACCAGGTTGATTCAAGCTCACTCTCTTTAGATTCATTAGATTGACCAAGTTCACTAGCTCACAACCACAGAACCGCCAGGTTTGGACCTCGGGCACACGCTTGAACACTTAGCTCATAGCGGAGCTCCTGTCGCTCTTGGCCCTTTCGACCGGAGCCGACCGAACCTCTTGTACACCTCATCTTTCTCCTTTTCGTTTATAACCCCACTACAGACTTCGAGCACCTGGGCTTAGGAATAAAGTCACCGACCGACTCAAACTGGACATAGGGCACGTTGCCTGAACCAGTATAAACCATGTGTCATTGAGTGCTAGGACACCTCCGATCACAACGTACGGCAAAGATATAAATATTTATGTGTTGGTCACTTTCTGCACCGACAGTTGGCGCCGTCCGTGGGGAAGACGTTGTACGTTCAACACTTTTTGGTCATCGGATGGCCCACTTTTCCGCCACCCTCATCGTGGCAGGCTCGGACGATACGATTCGCTTCGGCTAGCTGGAGTTTCCCGCACTCTTACCTGTTGGGATATGGGCTCCACCCGTCTTCGAGCTATCCCAGGCCTTCCTCTTCGGAAGCCTAGACTTCATCGCCGACCGGCTCGGCGTACTACACCTCCGCGAGGAGGCTCACGTCCCGGCACCCATCGGAGGGGCGCCCTCCATCGACTTCAGGACGCACGACTTCAACGACGCGGCATCTGCGCTTCATTCCGAGCAAACTCTATGCTCAAACCCCATTGTGAGTAATGTACATGCTGTTATTTACTTACTATTCTCTATCTTCCGCCGATTACCCAGAGGAACCCCGTTGTCCCCGACGTGACCGCCATACGATCGGTTCCCCTATGGCCTCGCGTCTTCCACGGACGCATACGTCCGGGGGCTCCATAGGATGCCAGTGCCTCCCCCTCTCGCATCTGAATTCGTGAGAATGGCGAGCTGTGCTCCCACTTGTTTCGTCGACCTCATGGATGACGATGGTGAGAGTGACGGCTCTAGCATTGGCGACATGGCGCCTAGCCACCGTCCATCCCGAGAGTGCACCATGGCGGATGCTCCGGGACACCCACCGATGGAAGCAGAGTCCTCACAGACTCATACCTCATCGGACTCTCGTGCGGAGACCCCTGAGCTCACACGGGAGCACGGCGAGGCACTATGACAACAACAGCTGCATCAGCCACCGACTGCGCCAGCGCGCTCGGCGCACCACACTGCGCCCCGTACGCATAGACCAGCGAGCGGCACCTGGGGTCACGCCCGTCAGGTCTAGCGCAACACCATAGACAGGGGGACCGATCCCCCACAGTTCGCTCGGGCCAGTCAGAACATCGCCGCCGTGGCAATGCTTCTGCGTGGCCTGTCCAAGCTAAACGACCCTCATAAACAGGCGATCCACTGGAACCTCCGGGCACAAGCGGAGAGCTCCGTATCGCGAC